GATGAATGAATGAATGAATGAACGAATCTATTCAACTTAGGAAAACCAAAGGATGTTTGGCATCTCAAGGTTAGTGCCTTGATTTTGTGTTGGAAATATGATTTTATATCATTGGGCATTCTTTTATTTCTCCCTAAAAATGTGTCACATAGAAAAAAGTATAATACTTTCTATTGCATTTAATTTCCGGGGTAGAAAGAAGTTTTAGGAAGAATATTCAATTATGTGAGTATTCAGCTGCAGAGTGTTCACACTTATCCATTGCTTATGAGAAAATAGGTCATTTTGCAGTGAAAGAGTACTTGGGACCTAGAAACCGTGTTCCATTCCTTGAGATTAACAGTGGGAGGATAAACATTGATTAGTTCTTTGTTACCACAGTTCTATAATGAACGTTTTTGTCTGATCCATTGAGATTCACATTTTAGAAAGAATAAGTGCCATTGTTTCTTCCAAGAGCACTTTGCTGAAAGGTTCAAATTGGGGGGGGGGAGGGGAACCCAGTGATAAGTGTCAGTCGGGCTGTGTGGGGCTTTAGATTCAGCTGTAAAAAGGTGTCTCAGATGCAAGAAATGTCTGCAACTCTTTAAAGTTGCCCCACCTTTCCCAGGAAGACACTTTAAAATTAAAAGAAGGTGCTAGGTTCACAATCCCCCATGCTCACATGGTGATATATCGGTTTGCTTGATGCTTTTGACTTATCAGATTGTATGGAGTCATATTTAGAACCCAGTTCTAAATACATTTCTTGGCACTATATCTTCACTCTTTTAAAGGATTGTGCTTCAAAACATTATGTAAGATAGGCCTGCTTTATACATTCCAGGAAATGAAACATCTTCTCTGACAACCACAGATGAGATGATGTTTAAACTTGCACCTGTTCCTTAATGTACCACATATTTTACAAGGTATATAATCTGCATTCAGACTTAGTGGTGATCTTGATACACTTCAGTCAGCTGATTTGCCAGTTTGCATCATATACTTTAAAATATAGCCTTTAAAAAAATCCTCCAAATTTCATTAAAAGTTGAGTGTTTTATTTCTTTTTCAGGAGTTGTATTCATACACTTTAAAAACAATACACTTAAATGAAACTCACTATTATGTTGTGGAATACACAACGGGATGAGGCTACACATAGAAAAATACACATAGCCAGTAACATTTTGAAAGAAGATGTAATAGAGGGATGTGTGTATTTGTGTGTGTGTGTGTGTGCATGCACGTGTCTGTCTATCAGTTTCGGTATTCAGTTTTGTTTAGCTTCTGTATTTTTCTACCCTCTCATCTTTCATTGCTGCACATTAAGGCTGTTACTTAAAACCTATGGTAGATTAAAGTGATCTATCGGCAACAGTATCTCTGTATGCCAGATGGCATTAGTGCTGAGAACTTCTGATTTTTATTAGCATAGCTTAAGGCAGATGCCAGCTTGGGCCTAAATATTGTCTACAACATATAAGCACAAACAAAACTTTGCAAGAGTAAAAGAAGGCCGTAAGCAACAAAATAGGTTTAATATTTTAAAATAGTGCAATTCAGAAGAGCATTTTTCTTCATGTAGATGGGCAAACCCATTTCCACATGCATGTATCTTCATGTGTGATCTGTTAATGTTTACCTCTAGTTTATTAGTGCTAATGTGTATTATCTGCAGTGACACGATATATCTTATTTGGGTTCACTGCGTGTTTAACTCTGCTGCAGTAACAAGACAGCTACAACTACTAACTTTACGTGTGCAGTTACAGTCTGAAACTTCATCACCAAAGGGCTTTCTGGAATTGAAACATTAGACTTTTAAAAAACAATTTGCTGCAAAAGAATTTACTTTGCAGCAAGCGCCACTCTTCACATAACTAAGTCTAAGTTTTTGTTCTTTGGGATTATCCCTTATTTTTACCATTGTTAAATTACTCTAATTCAGGTTTGATGTCTTCATTTCTCTCTCCCAACCACTCTTTTTTCCCAATATGTTGGCAGTGACAAGCAATTGGTTATGCGCAAGAAGTTGCTTAGAGGCTGTATAATCATTCTTCATGACCATTGCTTGGACTCATTGAAACATTCACAGCTGCCTTCTCCCACATCGCAACGTACCTTGTACTCCCAGTGTAATATACCTTTCCATGACTGCCTGATCCAGTTAGGAAAAGAAAAACAAAAAGTGTGAGAGAAAAGGGATGCAGAAAAAGAGCAAATAATAACAAATCAAAGCCAAATCAAAACATTGGATAAACAGCCCTTACAACATTCTGCACATTTTTATTATTGTTGTTGGTTTACAGCAAAGATCTCAAAGATTCGTTAATGACTGCATTAATTTAGATGGTGTTATATTTTATGTGATTAAAGTTTAGTGAAAAAGAAATCTGAAAGGGAATTAATGTTGTTTGTTCCTGAAAATTAAAGCCTTATATTTCTTGGGGAGCACCTTGAAGAAGAAGGAATAAGATGGGGAATTTTGTTATTTTTCCTAAATAATGCTGACAACAAGCTACCTTGCAAGTTTGGGAGGCTTTTGTTGTTGTCGTCGTTGGCTTTTCAGCCATTGGTCAGCATTTGCCGATATAGTTTTGTATATTCCTACTGCATGCATAACTCAACTGACATTAACGAATAGATTGTGTTTTTTATCTAAGGAATTCTGCAATTGGTTATTAATCCTTTGGACAGCTATGTTATGAAGCAGTGAATGTAGCCTTTCAGTGACATCTTAAGAGTTTTAGCGCCTAGCAACAGGAGAGCCAGACCGGGAACCAGGTCGGGAACCAGAGCTTCCCTTTGGAAAGAAGAAAGAAAAAGACAGGATTAAAATTAACATACTGCGGCTGAATATGTTGTAATATACATGTTTTGTATACCCAGTTCCATTCAGCCTGTGATTCAACATAGTTGTCAGGCTCTCAAAGCAGGTCCAAACTAGTTGAACCTTCCTCAAGATTTGAACATCACAATTAGGAATGAAATCTTTATTGTAATTCAGAAATGGTAGCTATCACAAACAGTTGATAGCCACTGAGAAGATTGAGGATGAAACAGAATTTATATTCCTTCAATTTCAGATTCAACACACACACTCTCTACTTTCCTCCCATGTAATAGAGTCCTTAGCCTTCCATTTTTCAGGCTCACTTGTTAGTGGCCATTGTACGTTTACATTCTTTGCATTCCCGTTCTGAGTATTAGCAGCCACCAATAGAACCCTGAAAATCGGGATGATATTTTGGATAAAGAAGGGATAGAGAATAGCAATTATTGAACTGAATTT